CTAAAAGCCAGCAGCGGCTCCATGAGAGAACAACTTATCCGTAAAAACATCCATGCGAAGCACCACACGTGCGCTTTCCTGACACAGAAATAAATTTTGAAATTGTACTTGAATTTGTGTGCTTGTTCCAAGATGTATTTACATTTCACATGCAGCATTAGAATGAAACAAATGGAGTATCTTGGTAGATAAGAGAGAAAGAAAGAAACCTGGTTTAACTAAATTAAAGCATGTGAGAAGTAAATAAAAACCTGAGATAAGAAATTCGGTGCAATATGAGACACTTAAAATGTTTCCTGACCTTATTGTTCCATCTTCTAAAAATAGTCTGAATCAATTATACTACTCAAAAAAAAAAGTCTCAGAGAATAGAGGAAGAATTAAAATGTTATCTAAAACCCCTGAAGTTCAGAACAGAGGCATCCACAGACAGCTTTCTTCACTTCTTCTCTATTGCTAAATATTGAGCATTCCAGGGCCTTTGTTACTGGCTTGATATGTGTTATTTAATTTTCCCAGGTAAAAGAATGGAGGTGTAATGAGGAACACTCTAATATTTGACTTAGAAAAATAATGCAAAATATTCCAATTTTTAAACTATTTGGTGAAGTGGTTCTCAAATGACAAACAGTAGACACCTTCCAAGCCTCTTCTTAACCAGCAGCTTGTGGCAGTTACCTGGGGTGCTTTAAAAAGTCTTCTAAATGCTTGGGCCCCAATTGGGTAATTTTAAAGTTACCAGTTAAAAAAAATAACAGTAGTGCGCGATGGTGATGAAAGATAATTTAAGCAGTGCAAGTCCCCTTGCCCCAACTCCCTACAGATAATCACTATCACCAATGTCCTCTGCAGATTATATATTTCATTTACAAAGGAGATCACATTATACATGTTCTGCAAGCGGTTTCTGTCATTTAGCAATATACCTGAACATCTCTCCATATCCGTACATCTAGATCCATCTTGATTTTTCAACAGCTACCTAGCACTCCATTTTTTAGATGTATGAGTTCTGTCCAGAAGGTATCCAGCCATGTAATATGAAAAATAGAGACATTTATTGAAGAAGATATAAGAAACATTGTACATAGGACAATGATGTCTCAGTCCCCAAGTAGGCACCTTGGGACCTCACACAGTCCTCTCAATCACCATCAGCTGCCCCACTGTTATTTTCCTGAATCTCTTCAGGAATGATGGCCTGAAATCTCTTCCCTTTCAAAGGTGATTTTAGTTTTGGGAAAAGCTAGAAGTCACAGGGCACCAAATCTGGGCTGTAGGGGGCCTGAGTCACCTGGGTGATTTGATGTTTTGCCAAAAAGCTGTGCATGAGAGATGGTGCATAAGTGGGCGTGTGTGGTGATGAAGCTGCCAATCGCCAGACGCCCATAGCTGTGGCCTTCTGAGTCATCCAAATAGTTTCCATAGAAGACTGTTCACTCTTAATGCAAAATTTGATGCAGATTCACTGCTCTACTTGCTCAGTCATTTTGAATACGATGGTCACACAGTACATGTGCTCACTGAGTGGCCTCTACGGCCCCCACTGGTTAGTACAGTGAAGTGATCGTTGTTCATGCAAGCACATTCCAGTCCACTCTCCTTGGCTGCCAGATTAAATCAACATCATGCAAACCGTTCTTGTTATATTAATAATGGCCGGACTTTTTCTGGACAGACCTTGTATTATCACTTATTTAAGTGGTCCCTTATTGACATTATTATTTATTTCTTTTACTATTACAATTAACACTACGATGAACATCCCTATAAATCCATATCTTACTGTCTTGTTATGAGTAGACAGTGTGGTAGGCATAATTCTAAAATGACCTGCAACGACCTACACTTTTGTGTGGCCTGTGCCCCTTTGGGTGGGTGGACCCATGAACATGCTAAGACCCCCATTACATTTCATTATGGTGAAAGAGAGATTCTCCTGGGTGGGCCTGGGCCAAGCAGGCCGGCCTGTGAAAAGCAGAGGGTTTTCTCCAGCTGGGTAATCACAGAAGAGGAAGGCAGGGAGAGGCACTGGGGCAGCCTGGAAGAAGGCAGACATGCATGCTGCGACCTAAGTACCTGTGGAGCCCGGAGCAAGGACCTGCAAGCAGGAAAATGCGAGTCTTAATCCTACAGTCACAAGGGTTGTGGCTAGTGAGCTTGGAAAAAATCCCAAGCAGCAGATGAAAACTGCAGCCCTGGCGGCATCGTGATTTTGGCTCAGTGAGACCCTGAACAGAGCATTCAGCCATACTGTGCCTGGCCTACAGGAACTGGTAGGGAATGTGTGTTGTTTTAAGCATCTAAATTTGTGGTAATATGTTATGCAGCATTAAGAAAATCGATATAATTGGTACAACAAATTCCTAGAAGACAAATTGCTGGGTCAAAATGTTTACAGATACTCCAAAATCGCTCTTTAAATACTTTTTACATCAGTTTAAACACTCACCACAGTAGATCTAAATTTTTTAAACTCCCTGATTATTATCTGCTGATTTACAGTGTTTGTTCCAGTAAGTCCCAAGGGATGGAATGATTTGTATCTTGCCCATCAGTAGCTGGCTTTTCTGTCCAAGGAATTTTTTTAAGTGTTCATACTCCAATACTTCTTACAGGAAGAACTACCTTTCCTCTTAGACTCTGCTAGGAGAAGAACTATCATACAGCTACCAACTCCAAAATGGAAAGCTGTTGGCAACTGAAGTCAATATGAGCATATGGACGCTACCAAATTGTAATCCACCTACAAGTAAAGGGACTTTATGAGGTGGGGAAGAAGTTGAATGAACTCTGAGTCTTTAAAAACAAATTTAAAAGTTTTCTTCAATATTGAATACTCTCCTGGGAATAAAGCTTTAAATATTTTATAATATATTCCTCCAAGACAGTAATCTGAAGAAAATTATGAACAGGACACAAAGTGAAACCCATAATTAAAATATCAATTATATGAACACCAAAGTATTTTTATATGTTCAGGATTATTTAGGGAAAGAGGTAGATTTTAGAGCCAGACAGGATCCAAGAGATTTAGTTTACCTTCCTTGTTTTTACAGAGAATATGCTAACATTTTAGAAATCAATAAAGGTATAATTTTTTTTTTAAATTTCAGTATTTTCCTTTCACTGTACAGACTGATACATAACTTTCTGGAGTGCTATTAAAGTATTTACTAATACTTTAAAATGTTCATACCCTCAGACCTAGCAATTCTCTTTGAGAGTTTGTCCTAAAAGATATAAATCATAGATGATTATTCATTGAGTAGATTTAATTCAACCAATATTTGGTAAGCATCTCCTATGAATTATTAGTTATGGTTCTCAGAAAGCAACAATGAACAAAGCATGTGCCTGCCATCATGGGACTTTAAATTCTAGTGGAGACAAAGACAATCAATAAGTAAATATATTAAAAAAATATATCATTTAAAAAAAATCCTCGCCTGAGGATATTTTTATTGATTTGAAAGAGACAGAGATAGAGGGGGAGAGAGAGAAACATAAATGTGAGAGAGAATCGTCAATCAGGTGCCTCCTGTATGCGCCTAGACCGCCCGATCAAACCTACAACCTAGGTATGTGTGCTGACCAGGAATCAAACCTGCAACATTTTGGTGCACAGGATAATGCTCCAACCAACCGAGCCACACTGGCCAGGGCTTACATAAAATATATAAAAATTTCAGGTGTTGATAGATACTATGAAAAACGCAGGGTGTGAGAGTAAAATGATGAGATTTTAATTTAGAAAGAACAACCAGCAGAGAAAATCTCTGAAGAGATGTGATGAATGAAGGAAGGATGTAGGTCTTACAGGCAGACAGGTATCTGGGTAAACAAGAAACAAGGAGTTCAAATCCCCAGGGACAAGTTCTCCCAAACATGCCTGATACAGTCACCATTACACTGAAAGTTAGTTAACAGCAATTGTGAGTACCTAGATTCTGGTCAAAGAAATTGGTGAGGTGTTTTTTTTCCCTTAATTTTTAAAAAAATCAGCTAGTAATGTTTTGACTGTCAAAAAAAGTTCTACCTTTAATAATAAATTTTTTGCACTGGCTGAGTGGCTCGGTTGGAGTGTCGTCCCATAAACCAAAAAGGTTGTGGGTTTGATTCCTGGTCAAGGCACAAACCTAGGTTGCCAGTTTGATCCCTGGTTGGGGCATGAATTGGAGGCAACCAATTGATGTTTCTTTTCCTCCCTCTCTCTTCTTCTTTCTCTAAAATCAATAAACATAACCTCGGGTGAGGATTAAAATAATAATAATGATAATAAACCTTTTTTTTTTTACTATTACAATATTATTTATAGTTGGAAACAACCTAAATGTCCTACAGTTGTTACTAAATTGACTACGTACACAATACATTCATAAAATGAAATAATTTAAAAACATTAAAATATTTTAAAATGACATTAAGATATTTAATGATAAAAATTAAGATAAAAATTAAGATATTTTCCTTGCAAGGTAAGGGAAAATGCTATTACATAAATTGAAAAGAGAAAATTATTAAACAGTCCATATGAGCCAAATTTTATTTAAAAAACAAATACATATATATTTCAACCATTTCATGTTAGGTTTTTACATATACAGAAAAGAATAGATGTGCACCTAAAACCTGTGTAATTTTGTTAACCAGTGTCACCCAATAAATTCAATTTGAAAAAACAAAGGAAAAAAGACTACATCCCAAATATTGAGATAACAGTGAGTATCTTTTGCTGGTATGATTGTCAGCAATTTTTATCTGTTTTTGACTTTTCTGTGTTTTCCAAATATATTACATGTAATACTTATAAAAATAGGGGGGAAACCCAAAAGTAATTTTCCAAATAAATGTGTTAAAAGGTGGAATTTTAGTTCTTACCAGAAAAAAGAAACAGGAAGCACTTGAGCTCCATTAGTTTCTTTTCTCTTTGTGTTTGATTCACTTTGGGACTGGCAACAGGGCAACTAGGAAAGCTCTGGAGAAGCGATTATACTTACATTCCTGTTTGAAGGTGAAATACTCTGTAAGGTGCCTGCATTCATGATTTCCCCGAAGCAGAAACAATGTTTTGGGATGATTAATCTTTAAACTCCATAAAAACAGTACACACTACAAGACAAATACAAGCATAAAATTTTTATTTGTGATCATGATAACACACAAACATAACTTATACAAATTCAAATGACTTGTAATGACACTTCTTATTACTATTCCCAAGGTGAAACACGAAACCTTCAGCTTTTGAATGTGATGTGCCATGGCCCTAGAACTGACAGAGCACAGAGAGTAGTCTTCATAGAAACCTCTCCTTAGCTTCTGTTCCATGTTCTGTACAAATATCTAGAACTCTGTGACAAAACCACCCACACATCTATAATATATACCTTAGTCCTAAAACCTTTATTTTAATTAATGGAGAAACACTAGAGACATTTTCACTAAAATCAGGAACAAGGCAAAGATATCCACTATCTCTGCTATTGTTCAACACTGTACATAGAGGTATTAGCCAATGGAATTAAATTAATTGATTACAGAGTTAAGAATGGGTAAAAAAAAAGCCTTTCTATTTGCAGATAATATAATATGATAATGAACCTAAAAAACTCCAGAAAATCAGTGATAAAACTCAAATAATAAAAAAGTTCAGTAACAAAGCAGGATATAAAATTAATACAAAATCAATAATCTTCACACACACAAACAATAAGTAGGACACAATGATAGAGAAAACTCCATTTTATAATAGCAGTAAAGAAGATTAAACACATAGGAATAAATTTATGTACAAATCTTATACCAGGAAATATTTATAATACTCCCAAGGGATACAAAGTAGATATACACAAAAAGAAAGACATTCCCTATTCTTGGATGGGATGATTCAACTTTAAATCTTCCTAATTTAATTTATAATACCATTGCCATTCCAATAAAAATATCAGCAAACTATTCTGTGGAGTTAGACAAGTTGATACTAAAATGTATATGGGAAAAAAACATGCAAGAACAGTCAGGAAACAGCCAGAAAAACACAGAAAAGGAAAAGTTTTTTTGGGTGGGGGGAGGAGACTAGCTCTAGCAGATACTAAAACACACTATAAAGTTTCTACAATTAAAGCAGTGGTCCTGGCACATTTTCCCAGAATTTAATATTGTTTCTCAACATAGATTCTAACAACCACGTGAAAAGCATAATTTTCAAATAGTGCAGGATGTTTTGTATACCTGGACCCTGCTCATTAAATGTCAGTGGAATCTCTCAATTATTGCTACAAAATATTAACTCATATGTCATTGTACATAATTATGAGTGCATCTGCAATGTAATTTCTCAAAAAATGGAATTTTTGAATCAAAACATATGTACATTTTGAGACAGACATTGAAAAATAAACATTATAACGCTTAAATATATAGCCCTGGCTGGTGTGGCTCAGTGGACTGAGAGCTGGCCTGTGAACCAAAGGGTCACAGATTCAATTCCCAATCTAGGGCACATGCTTGGGCTGCAGGTTTGATACCTGGGTGGGGCATGTATGGGACGCAACAACCAATCAATGTTTTTCTCTCTCTCACCCCTTCTTTTCTCTACGATCAATAAACATATCTTCAGGTGAGGATTAAAAATATAAATCAATCAATCAATCAATCAATAAACAAACTTAGATGGCTTTTTTCTTTTTTCTTTTTTTGGTTGACGATCATTTTTGACATAATTTGCATAAAACATTCCAAGGAAAAATTATATTAAAACCATATAGAAACTTAGAAAGCACTTTCTCTTTTCTATACTTACCTTTCCCAATCAAGAACATTATATATCTTTTGATTTATTTGCATCTTTATTTAGACTCCTGAAAAGACCAACTTACCTTTCTGAAGCAATAATATACATAAAAGCATCATCCAGATCCACACTATGTTTTAATTTGGTTGATATACTTTTCAGTCTCTAATCTTGAGTTTTATTTCCTTAAATTATACATCAAGATGCCATTGCATAATTATCTTGTACAATCCAATGACAAGGTCATGATTATCAGAAGATCTGTTTAGACACTCGATTACTTCCTTATTTCCATGTGAACAGAATTTTTACTCCAGTCGAAAATCATTTTCTGTATGCCAACAATTGTTCATCAGTTGGTCATCTGATACCATTTTCTGTAGATGGCTGCCTTGCATTTAGTGTGTTCTATGCTGATAATGTTCCTTTTAATCCTTTCTCTTATTGCAAAATCAAGTAAAGGAAACCAAAGTTTAGTTTCCCCTACCACAGAGGAAGTATTTTTTAATAGGTACAAATGCAGAAGGAACATCAAAGGGATCAGAAGAAGTGAAACTTCGCTATTCTGCTTTATCAGTGACTTTTGGATGAGTCCCTGGTGTACTAATCAAAGCCCACATCACTTCAGGAAAGATCAAGCTTGTGCTGGGCATGAAGAAAATCCTCATGCCTTAATCCTCTCATAAAGACTCAAGGAAAGAAAAATTAACTATGGGAAGAGAAAATAAAGTTAACTAAAGTTCTCTGAAAACAATTTGTCAATGTGTATCAAAAGTCTTAAGAACACACTCTTTTATCCAGTTATTTCACATATAAGGATCTGATTTAAGGAAATATCAGAAATGCCATCAAAGATGTATTAAAAGGTGTTAACTGCAGCAGTAGGTAGAACAGAAATATTTAGTAAACGACCCTGTACCACATACAGTACCAGTGATATAATATCCAACTAACTGTTGCTTAATCCATAAAGTCTTTTAAAATACCTCACAAAACACATAGTTGGGAGGAGGGATGTCCAGGTTTAGTGCACTAGCTCAACATCAGTGCCAAGAAGCCACGCTCTCTCTACCTCTTTGACCTGTGAGTCACAGCAGGTCTGCTTTCACCTTTAATTAACAGCACCTTCTCACGGTCTCAAAATAGCTGCTACAGTACTCATTTGAAATGATATACTGAAAGGGGGCATCCAAAAGCTTCTGCCTTACAAGAGCCTTTTCATCTGGAAAGAAAATGTTTCAAAACATAAACACACTTGGTTTTCCCAACCAAAAAACAAAACAGAGCAAACACCCAGTAGACTTTCTTTATATATTACTGGGCAAAACAGGATCTTGTGTCTACCCCACACCAATCCACTGGTGAAAGGGAATAACTTTCACGACTGGATCAGACCAACATGAAGTCCATCCCTGGGGCTGGGAAAAGAGCCTTCCCTCCCTGAAATCAAAGGTTCTCCCTGAACCCCCTATTCCATTTATCTGAAAACAAAAACAAAAACAAAACCACAGAGATTTTGACAGCAAGGAAGAAGAAAAAGGTAGGCAATAAGGAAGACCTGCTACAAATCTAATTATCCAACAACAGGAATGATGAAATTGAGTATCTACTATGTGTTAGGCATTGTACACGGTCCTCACATGAAGAATACTGCTGATACTCGAATACATACTTTTGTATTATGCTGAAAGATCTTTTCATAAGAGTATCTTTTCTACTAGACTGTCAGCTCCTATAGCTGGTATGACTCATTACTTTATCCTCAGAGCCTGCCATAAAGCCAGCACTCAAGAAGCATTCGTTGATGAGTGAGGAAAATAATACATAACAAAATATTGGGAATATGCTATATATGTATAAAAATCATTGTGCATTTTTGTGTATGCTTTATTGAATATATTGATGCACTGAAACTTCTTAAAGTACGTGAGTTAACAATCAGAAGACAATCTGGCACAATATTTATCTTTTTAAAAAGTTTCATTAAATGACTAATTAAAACTTCACTAAGTTCTGTATTCTTCTCTTCAACCTCTAGAACCTCCTCATGCTGGCAAATACACAAAGAGGCAAACACTCAATGTATCTTTCAAACATCCATACTTCTGACTTACTGTCTATTGAAACATGAATAGAAAATAGGAATATAAAAGCTTTCCAATGATACACGCCTACAAGCCTGATCTCTACCCCAACTCAGGTACCTATTTAGAGACTAGGAATTTACTGAGCAGTAGGGAAAATGTGCTTATTTTCTTAGTTTCTAACATTAACCTTTGTCCTCATAGATGACACTGAACTTTTGACGCACTGGCGGGTAACTCTGCATTTTTCTGATTCAGAATTTTGACTGCCTATCTAACTGAAGAGTAAGATCTCTTTCTCTTGTCACTTATTTTTCTGGCAGTTTTAGAACAACTGCTGCTTCTCTGGTTGAGCACCAGGGAAGACAACTGAGTTGAATTTAGGAGGGATGCTGTGTGAACAATAAGCCTTTAACCACCAGGAACACAGTGGAGTGAGGTTCTCACAGTCTGAGGGAGAGGCAAAACTAAAGACTACAAGAACAGTGATAGGCACCTCATGCTTATTCCAGGCACATTACAAATTCGATTACCCACACTATTTCAAAGTTACTTCTTTTATTTGCCAAAAATGTCCAGCTGAATAAACAGACATTAAATATAAATGTGTTGTGGTTGTATTGTACTCAAGCCCTTGCATTAAGTTCTAAAACTTTTCTACATAAAAACGTAGTTTGTTTTGATTGTAATCTTTTTCTCATCATTTAATTTCCAAAATATATAAAAGTAAATTGTGAGGTTTCACATTAACTTCATTAACTAATCATTTTTTCCTTCAATGAACAATCATTAAGTGCTTACTCTATGCAACAGCATCAGAAACCACTCCTACAATAAGCTAAGCGCCTGCTCACCTAGTGCAGGCAGTCGCTCTAAGAGCTCAGGGTAGCCCTGCCGCTTATGGTCTCACCATTAAGGCCAGCCACCCCAGTTAAGGTGGACAGCAATTCCTGTCACTTATACACAGCCTGCACACTACCTTCAAAGAGCAAAGGTTAGGAAACATTTAACTTATTTGCAAAGCTGGGTATTAATATAGCCTTCTATTTGTCAAACTTCCTACTGGATGAAAAAAAAGGAAAATAATTTTTATATCAATTAAAACATTTTGCTATCATTTTATTGAAAATAACAACGTTTATAAATTCTGTCAATGTTCTCATTTTAGTTTTTTTTCTACCAAAGAATGGGAGGCAAATTCTTTTAAAAAGACCACATGATAGCTCCAACGTATCCAGCTTCATTTTTACCTCTATGCTGAAATAGCCTCTGTCCACGTAATCACCCAGAAAGAGGTAGCGTGTGTTGCTAGGTGAGCCTCCAACTTCAAACAACTTCATCAGGTCAAAGAATTGTCCATGGATGTCACCACACACTAGGAGGAAAAAGACACAGGGTGAGGTGAAAAAGTGTGCCTTAGCAAACAAAGGGCAGCACACGAAGAAGGATCACAATTCAACTTTCATATCATTTTACTTTTGACTGGGCTGCTCTGGAGCTGTTGTCAGTCTATTGGCACTGAACAGCCCTTCTGGAAATAAAAGACACTTTAAACTGTGTTTCTTCCACGAACAAAAAACACGTTAAAAAGTCCTCAAACTGTCTCATCATTCCTAGAGAAACGACTACACATTTTAGTTGGTTATTTGTGATCATTTCTTAAATTAGCTCAAATCAGAGTGCCACCAGGCAAACACTTCTCCTACCCGTGACTGGAGCATCTACTTCTATCATCGTCTTCTCTTGCCGCAGGATGGCAGCCCCGTCATTGATTATCTTCAGGGCTACTTCCTCTTCCAGTCGCCCTTCCTTCACCAAGTGGTTTTTCAGGACATCAATGTTAGGTTTCCCATTCTCAAACACTTCTTTCAAAGTAAGCCGTTGGGTTGGAGGGAAGGGGACAGCTAGAGAAAGAGAAAAACATTATTTAAAATACTTAAATGTATAGAGAACAACCATGAACACATTTCTTTAATTTAACAAATTAAACTCAATATATCACTGTGGTTTCACACCCTTACCACCAGAGCTACATGGGAAAAATTCCAAATTACTGCATATTATGAATGATTGGTTCTAATTTTTCAAAAGGCCACAGTTAAAGTCAGTCATTTAAAGGATATGTATATGTATGTGTGTACAAAGTATAATGTTTTTCATATAAACATTAAAGACTTGAAGTTGATTCTGTAAATAAGCTAAAAGTGAGAAAAGGGACTAGATGATACGATGTTACAAATAAAACCATGGTTAAAGAAAACAAACAAAAAGAAATCACAACACTAAAAGAACATTTATTTCTTCCAAAGAACTGACCTGGGAAACCAGAAGTTTGTTCCAAAAATTTGACTTTAGTTCCTGATCAGGGGAATCATAGTTGGATACTTTATTCTTAAAAAGTAGTTGCTTAAAATGTTACTGATAACAAGAACAGCACTAAAAAGAATATCCCTGAGAATAACTTGCTACAACAACAGAGCATATTCTTGAGAATAGATATGGAGGTCTACTTGTGTTTTCTGACCTGGAAATGCTAACTTCAGTTTATGCTGAACATAAAGTTTATATAATATCATGGTGAATTAGGAGCTTCAACAAAAATTCTCTTTGACATTTTTAAATTGGTTGTCATCTTCTATTTAACTATGTTATGATGAAGTCTATTTCAGATTCCCTGTGATCTAATAGCCTCAAGTCTATAAACCACAAATTTAAGAGGAGGGGTTCATTTTAACTTGTGATTTATGTCTGGTGGTTCTACTTCTAACTTTGTGGAAGTGTTATTAAGAACCAAGGTGAGGGCTGGGTGAAAAAGGTCTGAAGGGATTAAGAAGTTCAAATTGGTAGTTACAGAATGGCCATAGGGATAACAGCATAGGGAATATAGTCAATAATATTATAATAACTATGAATGGTGTCAAGTGGGTAGAATTATTGGGAGGGGATCATGTCATAAATTATGTAATTGTTTGACTACTATGCTGTACACCTAAAACTAATATAAAATAATACTGAATGTCAACTGTAGTTGAAAAATTTTTTTTTTTTAATTAAAAATTTTTTTAAAAGAACCAAGATGAAATCTACCGGCACTTAAAAATTTTCAGACTTGATTTAACCACACCATTTTGTATTATCTACAACTAAAGAAAGTCCTACAGTAGGCTTTGTCATGCTCTAAGCTACCACATGACTCATTTTGACTACTCAAAGCTCATTGAAAAAATGATAATAGCTATTCAACCAGGAAATGACTCTCTTGAGAGAGGGACCACACATACATAGCCCAGTCTACCCAGGACAGTCCTAGACTTCAACTGTTCTCCTAGTATAGTTGCTAAAAGTTCTCCCTTTCATTCTCAAAGTATCTCAATTTGAAGGACAAATGATTCTTTGTGTTATTCAGATGCACTATCAGTGTACTATTTTAACAGAAAAATCTACTTCTTAAAACAAAAATAAACCCTGGATGGGTAGCTCAGCTGGCTAAAGCATCATCCTGATAGGCCAAGGTCGTGGGTTTGATCCCCAGTCAGGGCACATACAAGAATCAACCAATGAATGCATAAATAAGTGGAACAACAAATCAATGTCTCTCTCTCTCTGCCCCCCACCCTTCATTCAAATCAATCAATCAAATTAATTAAAGTAGAGCAAGAATAAAATATTGCGATAAATCTTTTATTCATCTGGTTGAGTCTTCAAAACCTGAACAGGTTTCCTTAAATATTTTACTAAAATTTAATGGTACTACGGTTGTGTATAACAACAAGATGATATTTTATAGTTTAGAGATTCTTACTGAAATATTTTCAGATGAAGTTTTATGCTATTTGATATAATTATATTTAGATAATGGGGGGCGGAATGAGCAGTGTTATAGATGGGTGATGTTCATTTGGAAGTTCATAATGCTTTCCTCTCTACCATTGTAATATGTGTGAAACCCTTACAATAAAAAAGAAGTAGAAAGAATTACCAAAAAAAAAAAAAGAGTATAAACTTTAGAGAAAACTTCTTTCGAGAAATTTACATGAGGCTCAGTCAAGACCTCTATTTAATCTAATTTCTTATAGATGACATCAGAGAACCACCAGTACTCTGAAATCTTGATTCAAAAAATAGAAAAATGGAAGATTTCACACTTAACCATTCCTCTTTTGTACTTAATTTACCTCTTTAAACTCTTATTCTCCACCCTTTCCCAGTTTTGAAATGAACTGTACAGAAAGTCTGTTTCTTTTTAATCTCCCACGTTGTAAATCAAAGAAATTGGTCAACAATCTAAGAATGACATGAAATAAGATAAAATCAAATATATTGGAATCGTCAAAAAAAGTATCATAATAGAGACAGTACGAGACACAAGACATCCATAGAAATTATTTAACTTCTACCAGTAGTATTACTACAGGTTAAAATAACTTTCCTCCAGTTATAATCAGAAAAGTTTACAAAATATAATCCACTTTCCTTTATATCATAAAAGTTATGTAAGTACAGGTGACAACAATCTAAGGAGCTCCTGAGGGAGGAATTCAGAGAGATATTTTTTCTTTCTCTCAAATCTTTCCGTTGTAATTTATTTAAAACAAAACAAATAAACAAATCACTTAGTTAAATGAAAGCAAAAGCAAGGTTGAAGTTGGGTCAAGGGGATTAAGTCCAGCTAAGAGAAATGGGACACAGCTGAGCCAGGAACACTAAGAAGAATCAGGATTGGCTTGGGACATGCATAACAGAAAGTTTCAAAGAGTCCTAGATTTTTAGGGCAAATGAAATCAGTACCTGTGAAATCAGGAAATAAGAATCTTGAGCTTTAAAGGAGTGGGCCCTACCTCACCTCAAGTTAGTCCTGGCTAAGTTTAGAAGCCCTGAATTCTATCTCCCTTCCTTTAATAGCTATTTCTACCAGCACTATAGTTGAGGTGATTCATAGAAGAGTGGGAACAGCCACAGTCCTGAGGAGACTAAAGGAAATCCAGCTAAGTTTAATCACGAAAGGAAACAGCGGAAACTTTCCAATGAAATTTTAAATCTCCATTTTTTAAAAAAATATGCCTCCAATACAGAGTAACCATATGTATGTATGCCTATTGTGATATTCCAAGTTTGTTTATTTTGTCCTGATGTAATTATTGGTAGTGCCCCCCTCCTTTACTCTCAAGTACCTGTTTTGAATGATATATCCAGGAACAACACTTATTAGAATCCACAAATGTAGATGTTTGGGTCTCAGGCCTGTGGAATGAGAACTCAAAAAGTGAGGATCCTGCACAAGGTATTTGCATGTTAACAGGTGCCCCAGGCAATTCTTGTGCAATTAAAATGGTGTTAGAGTAAAATAGGATAATGCTTAAAGGAAATTCTAAGACACAACTAATCTCAGATATCAGCACCTTTTTTCTCCACTCATCACATAGTCACAGTTGACTAGTCTTCCAGTCCTTTCTTAGAGTATCTACTGTGGCCACATGGCTACAAGGAGTTTGGAATTTCTGAGGGGGGAAAAAGCGACTATAGAGTAGTGCCTTGTAAACCATCTATGGGAACTCCCCCAGCCCCAATCCGTCAAAACCAATACTTTGTAAAATGTACTAAAAATAAATTACTAGAAAATTGATCACATGCACGAATGTTGTGTCAATGTCAAATGGCTAGAAAAGCTTTTACTGATCCTCTGCACTCATCGCAGTTAGTAAGGACTGGTGCACGGACATGACGCTGGTCCAGAGACACTTTTAGTAACACTGGTGCGGATAAACCGGGGTTTGAGGAGAGAAGTAACAAACTAGAGCCAGAATTGGATATTGTGCATCTGTAAGCCCAAGTCTGGAGATTTCAGTAAATCTAACGGACACAAAAGATGATGTTCAACTGACTTCGCTACTCACTTCACAATGAATAGTAACCTTGCTCTAAGGACCCAAACCCCAGACAAATTCACTTCCAACTGCCTTTCATGGCACACAGGATTACACTCATAAAAAATACAACCTGAACACTTCGACAGCAGGCAGATAAACAAGCTGAAGTTTAGCCTCTAACATCTTATGAACTGTAACATAAAAGTTGTTCCTTGCATCTTTTCTTCTGCGGCTGTATGTTGCCTCTTTATTCCATTTATATAGCGGTCATTTCCTTTGTATATATCCCCAGAAGTAGAATTGCTGGGTCATAAAGCAGTTCCATTTTTAACTTTCTGAGGAAACTCCATACTGCTTTCCACGGTGGCTGCACCAGTCTGCATTCCCATCAACAGTGCACAAGGGTTCCCTTTTCTCCACATCCCTACCAGCACTTGTTGTTTGTTGATTTATTGATAATAGTCATTCTGACAGGTGTGAGGTGATATCTCATTGTGGTTTTAATGCATTTCTCTGGTGATTAGTGCAATTGAGCATCTTTTCATATGCCTATTGGCCATCTGTATGTCCTCTCCAGAGAAGTGGCTATTCAGGTTTTTTGCCTGTTTTTAAATTGGACTTTTTTTGGAGTTGAGTAAGTTCTTTATAAATTTTGAATATTAACCAAGGACATGCATCTTAAGAGAAAGCCAGGAGAAACCTGTATCCTTCTTACATCATAGCCTCAAAAGCCATGCAGCATTATTCCCACCATACTTAATTGGCTGGAGCAATCACAACGTGCCAAGTGCAAGGGAAGAGGAAATAGATCCCACCCATTGACACAAAGCAGCAAAATTCTGTGAAAGCATGCGAAACTAGAAATATTGTTGTGGCCATTTCTTGAAAATAGAACCTGGTAATACTTTCTCTACTCAGAAGGGGGGAAAAAAGCCGAGTCATCAATGCCTCTAACAATACCTTTAAATCAGAGCCCATTTTAAATGGGCCATTCTGTATTTTCCAAGCTATTATCAAATAAGAATATCTATTAACAC